AGAATCTGAAAGGGGAAGTGGCCTGGGGGAGGGACCAGGAACTGCTTTCGCAGGCATCCCTCTCTGCTAGAAGATTCTTCTTCCGACACTTTCGTTCTAGTCTTAGACGGATTTTTATTTCTGTCTTTGAAGGAAGGTTTCTTCTTTATATTATATTCTCTTATGTTCTGGGTTAGAATCTGTGGTTTTTACACAATTGCATACCAAAATTCATCTCAAATGCTCGGATTCAAGGAGGCAGAAGTGAAACTGTCATTTTTGATTTCTCCTTAACTGTATTGTTCTGTCAGTTTGCCCTCTCACTTCACTGTTTGTTTTGTTCTGCCTTTGGTATTTTTTCTCTGCTTTTTTGTCTGTTTTTCTCCACCTTCCCATCCCATCTTCTCTTAGGTTCAGGCTATCACCTCAAAACAAGTAGCAATACAGTCCTTATCAGTGTATCTTTGGAATCCTTGGGAACTTGCATCCATGGTCTTCTGGACACCATTAGGAGAAACAGAAGGTGCAGTACTTCGTCACTGTCTGCTACACAGGTCTACTGAGAAGAAAATACTTTTTTTTCCTAGCTCCAGGAATAATTGAAAAACACGCAGAGTGAGGAATTAGAACAAATATGTTTTGTTGTTGTTCATGTCAGAAATGTCTTCTATTTTGCTTCCTCCCTCCCTTTACAATCCTCCTAGCAAATTCCCTCCTCCCCCGCTTTTTTTTAATTGTATAACAATTGAGATACCAGAATTTCACATGACATTTCTTTGGGGTGATTTTCCAGATAGCTGAGGAAACACAAAGTTTCTATGAGTCTGTCTAGATATTACTGTTTTAAACCTATCCAGTGCAACCATTTCTGGAAAATTCACTGTATCTTACATCTGTTGGATAAGCCCGAAATTTAAAGACAAATCTGATTTGCTTATAGCAAGAACATTCTCATTGGTTTGATCTCTTGCAGATAGCTGATCTTGGTGTTGCTTCCTTTAAAACATGGAGTAAGCTGACTAAAGAGGAAGATAACAAACAGAGGAAAGTGAATAGTTCTTCAAAAAAAAATGGTGGCACCCTATATTACATGGCCCCTGAGCACCTGAATGACATCAATGCAAGGCCCTCGGAGAAGTCAGATGTGTACAGCTTTGCCATAGTACTTTGGGCAATATTTGCACATAAGGAGCCATATGAAAGTAAGACATTTATAAAGGAGTGGGATTTCAGTTTTAATACAAACTTGCTAAATGAAATAATGGCCTTTTTTGAAGTCAGTTAATGCTTATAATTGTTTGTTCATTTAATGTCTGTCTTACCCCCTAGACTGTAAGCTCTACAAGGACTGGGACCACACCTGGTTTATTCAGTGCTATTTGCTGAGTATCTGTATACATACTGCCAGGAACATAGTAGGTGCTCAATAAATTTTTGTTGACTGAATGAGTAATCTTAGTTTAGGAATCAGGGATCACAAGACAAATAGGAGCCTTGATAATGCATCTAAGCTTAGGAGGTGCTATAAAATTGCCAGATTCTTCCTGGATGGGAAAACTTACTTGAAGCTTATGAGGACTTACCCTTTCGTACTGCAAGTCATATGCTTCATATATTCATCCATTCACTAATTCAAGAATTAAGTCATTTCATACTTACATGAGTACTTTAATCAGAATTGAGAATATAAAGATGAGAAAGACATGGTTTGTGCAGGAGAACAGATACATAAAGTGTCATTTTTCAGTTTGTTAAGTGCCTACACTAAAGGACAGTTTCCTATCTATTCTTGTTTTCGTGATTATTACTCTCACTCCCATGGTTTAATGATCATCTCTTTGCCCATGCCTCTCAAATCTCTTATCTCTAGCCCTGGCCTGGATATCCAGTTGTCTTAGATTCATTACATGTAACCAGAGGAACCCTAAAGCAACATCCCTCTAAACAAATTTATCTTCTTCATGCTCTCCCTGTAGCCCACACAGGCTTGTTTCTTTTCTTATGTTCAGCAGATGGCATTACCATCTATCTACTGAGTTGCTTGACCAGAAGCCTTGGTCATCCCAGACTCAACCTTGTCCCTCATCTGCCACATCCAATCAGTCATCAAAACCTATAAATTCAAAGTATATATATAATTCAATTTACATCTTAAACCCATCTACTTCTCTTTATTACCACTATACTCTATTTAGTTCAAACACTTTATATTTCTGCTGCAGTCTCCTCATACACATCCACCTTCATTCACACTGCAGCCCAACTTGCCAGCCCAAAAAAGATGGCTTCCATTCACATTTCAGCCAACTGGTTGTCCCAAAAGGAAATATGACCATTTCATTCATCTGCTTAAAATCGTCCCAAGGCTCCCTGTGGCCTTAAGCTTAAGTATAAAGTTTAAATTCCTCATTATGGAATAATGGCTCTTTCTAATTTGGCTTTTGCTTCTTTCTATGCCTTTATTTCTTACTTCTCTTTCCTTAGTTAATATGCTTTTATACCGAACTACTCACAATTTCTGGGATACGTTATGATTTCTGGAACTCCCAATCTATTTATATCCTATTTCCCTAGCCCAGAATCTTCACCTCTGAGTCCCCCTTCCCATTCTTTACCTGGATAACTCCCGCTTATTTTTCTGAACTCAAAGCATTCTCTGACCTTCTAGTAAAGATCGTGTTAAGAGAATCCCTTGTACTTATTTCTTGAATGGCAATTATCACTCTATTTTAAGTTACTCATTAATATTCCATTCTACCAGGAGGCAGCTTTCTTGTGAATTCTGTCTTTCAAATACAGAAATTAAAATTCTGTTTAATTATTACTGCAATGGACTATGTCAGCTCCTTGCCACAGGGCTATTCTGTGCCTATCAGATCAGGTATCTATACTAAAAGTGGACCCTAGGCAAAGAGAGATTAATGGCATTGTCCAAGTTCTGTTATCTCCCTGCCTGAGAGGAACAGGACCTGAAAGAAAGCCTCAACTTAAGCTCCTCTTTGCTTTATAGATGCTATCTGTGAGCAGCAGTTGATAATGTGCATTAAATCTGGGAACAGGCCAGATGTGGAAGACATCATTGAGAACTGTCCAAAGGAGATTATCAATATCATGAAGCAATGCTGGGAAGCGAATCCAGAAGTTCGGCCAACATTTGCTGGTAAGGGCATCTTTTATGACTGCACAATCACCTATGTGGTGATTTTCCTAGTGAGAGGTTGTCAGGAAGTTGCTTTGAGTCTTCAGAAAACTGAGTTCTACTTGTGACTTCAAACTCATATTCTAGATTTCAGTTATTTAGTTCAATGAAAAGATGCCATCTCTCCCCAGACCATGAAGGCACATAACACCCTCTTTGTTATTTTTCATAATTAATTTTTTAAAATAATTTTTTTTATTTTTCAATTACAGTTGGCATACAATATTATATTAGTTTCAGGTGTACCACATAGTGATTAGACATTCATATAACTTACAGAGTGATCACCCTGATAAATCTAATACCCATCCGATACCATACTTAGTTATTACAATGTTATTGACTATTCCTTATGCTGTACTTTACATCATCATGACTATTTGACTATTTTGTAACTCCTAATTTGTATTTATTAATCCCTTCCCCTTTTTCACCCACCCCTCAACATTCCTCTCTTCTGGCAACCATCAGAATGTTCTTTGCATTTATAAGTTTGTTTCTGTTTTGTTTATTTGTTTACCTTGTTTTTTAGCTTCCACATATAAGTGAAATCATATGGCATTTGTCTTTCCCTGTCTGACTTACTCCACTCAGCACAGTATCCTTTAGGTCCATCCATGTTATTGCAGATGGCAAGATTTAAGTCTTTTCTTTATGGCTAAGTAAGATTCCACTGTATATCTATACCACCTCTTCTTTATCTGCTCATCTACTGATGGACACTGAGGTTGCCTCCATATCTTGGCTGTTGTAAATTATGCTGCAATGAACATATTGACTCACATGTCCCTGCGAAGTAGTGTTTTGGATTTTTTCGGATAAATGCCCAGAAGTGGAATTACTAGGTCTTCTGTCTCTTGTTATAGCTATTGTTTTAAAGTCTATTTTATTGAAATCCCCTTGGCAATATTTTAAGACTTTTGGCATGTATATTCATGAGGATACTGGTCTATAGCTTTCCACTTTTTGAATGATCTTGTTAGGTTTTGATGTCAGAGTCAATATTGGCTTCATAAAATAAATTGAAAAGTATTTCCTCCTCTTCTGTTTCTGGCAGAGAATGTGTATAATTGATGTTAATTATTTAAAAGTTTGGTAGAAACCATCTGCGCCTGGAGATTTCTTTCTTGGGAGTTTTCAAATTATGAAGTCAATTTATTTAATAGTTACAGGGCCATTCAGCTGACCTATTTTATAGCAGAGTAGTTGTGGTACTTTGTATGTTTGGAGGAGATGGTCTATTTCATATGAGTTGTAAAATTTATATGTGTAAAGTTGTTTGTAGTATCCCATATCCTTTAGATATCTGCTGGGTTTGTAGCGATAGTCCCTATTTCATTCCTGATATTGGTAATTAGTTTCTTCTGTTTTTCTTTGTCTGTCTTCTTTGAGGGTTATCAATTTTACTGATCTTTTCAAAGAACCAGCTTTGATTTTCACTGTTGTTTCTGTGTTTTCTATTTCATTGATCTTATCTTTATTATTTCCTTTCTTCTATTTGCTTTTTGTTTATTTTGCTCTTTTTTTTCCTAGGTTCTTGAAATGAGAACTTAGATTACTAATCTGTACTTGAGACCTTTTCTCTTTTCTAATGTGTATGTTTAATACCATCCATTTCCTTTTCAGCACTACTTTAGTTGCATCCTACAAATTTTGATATGTTGTATTTTTATTTACTTCAGTGCAATTTTTATTTTCCTCGAGCCTTTCTCTTTGATCTATTATTTAGAAATGTGTTGTTTAGTTTCCAAGAGTTTGAAGGTTTTCCTGTTATCTTTGTTATTGATTTCTGGCTTGATTTCACTGTAGTTGAAAAACATTCTGTAAGTATCGGTTTTTTCAAATTTGTTGAGGTTTATTTTATGGCCTAGGATATTGTCTATCTTGGTATATGTTCTGTGGGCACTTGAAAGGAATGGGTATTCTGCTGTTATTGTGGTAGAGTATTTTATAAATCTTGTTTACATCCTATTGATAATGTTGTTGAATTCTAAATCTTCACTGGTTTTTCTGTGTTTTTTCAATTGTTGAGAGAGAGGTGTTCAAGTCTCCAACTCTAATTGTGAATTTATTTCTGCTTTTAGTTCTATCTTCTTTAGCTTTATATATTTTGAATCTCTATTGTTTGGTACATATACATTTAGGATTGCTAGTTTTTGATGGATTGATCCTTTTATCATTACATAAATGTCCTTTTCTGTCTCCAGTAATCCTCTTTTCTCTGAAGTCTACTTTATTGGATCTTAATATGGCCACCCTGCTTTCCTTTTATTAATGTTTACATGACATATCTTTCCTCATTTTTATTTTAAACTGCCTATAACCATTATATGTGATGTGAGTTTCTTGTAACAGCATGTAGCTGAGTCATTTATTTTAATCTATTCTGCCAATCTTTTATCTTTTTATAAGTGTTTTTTAGATCATTTATATTTAATGCAATTATTGATATATTAGGGCTCATGTCTGCCATTTTGTTTTTTTGTTTATTTTTCTATTTTGTTTTTTTAAATTCTTTTTGTTTTTCATTTTGTTTTTCTTTTTCTTTTCTTTTTTTTTTTTTTTTTTTTTTTTTTTTGCTTTCCTGTGGGTTCTTGAATACTTTTTAGAATTCCATTTTTAATTACAGTATTTTTAAGTACAGTGTTTCTAGTGGATGCTGTAGGTATTACATAATCTATACATACATTACACAGTTTACTGTCACTTTACTAGTTTGAGTGAAATATACAACTTTACTCCCATTACTTTTCTCCCTTCTCTCCATGTAATCGCCTTAAATATCTACTCTACATACATTTAGAGCACATCAGTGTTACATTTTGCATCAACGATCAGTTATAGTTTAGAAAGTGCAAGAGGAGAAAGAAAGCCTATTGTATTTACCCATATTTTGGATTGCTGTGTTGTGGTGTCTTTTTTTCCGATACTACTATTGACAACGAATATTTCCCTAACTGGGTATCCTAGAATTCAATTAAATTCTGACACTAGTACACCTGAAACTAATATAATATTGTGTGCTGGTTGTTACTGAGAAATAAAAAAAATATATAAAGGAAAAAAAGATCACTAATTAAAAGTTTCAAAAAATTTTTTTGACACTAACTACCCAGAGTCATCATCAGACTCCACAAGTTTAAGGGCTGCTGCAAGATCGTCTCCATTTCAGACACCAGATGCAAATATGGTGCCTAGGCAACCCACACTTCTGCACAGCTGAATACAAATTTTGGGGTCCTCAAAGCACTTCCTCAAGTTCGATAATTCACTAGAACAACTTACAGAACTCAGGAAAATATTTTACTTACATTTATTGGTGTATTATAAAGGATACAATGCAGCAACAGGCAAATGGAAGAGATGCATAAATCAGTGTATTGTGTATGTGGAAGGGGGCGAGGGACAGGTGCCACAGAGCTCCCATGCCTTCTCTGGGCATGCCACTCTCCTAGTATCTCAGTATATTCACTGACCTGAAAGTTTTCCAACCCCTATTGTTTAGAGATTTCCATGGAGCTTTCATTAGGTAGGCATAATTGATTAAATCATTGGTGATTGAACTCAATCTCTAGTCCCTTTCCCCTCCCTGGAGGTCATGGGATAGTGCTGAAAGTTCCAACCCTGAAATCATGGGTAGATGTTTCTGGTGACCAGCTCCCATCCTGAAGCTATCTAGCCTCCCTCACCCCTCCAGTCATAACCCATCTCGTTAGCATACGAAAGACATTCTTATCATTTAGGAGATTCTAGAGATTTGGGGAGCTCCCTGACCAGAGCCAACCAAACCTGGGGAAAAGACCAAATTTTTTTTTTAAATATACCACACATTTTTTTTCTCCCTCCATGACATTCCAAGGTATCTTTTTTTTTTTTTTTCTTTTTATAATTATTTCCTTTTTGTTTAGAGAACTTGCTTTAGCCATTCTTTTATGATGTATCTGTTGGGGACAAATTCTCTTAGTATGCCTTCATTTGAGAATATCTTGAAGGATGTTTTTGGTGGGTGTAGGATTCTGGGTCGATAGTTGGGTTGATAGTTTTTTTCTTTCAGCACTTATACAATATTATGCCACTTTCTCTGTCCTCTATGGTTTCAGCTGAGAAATCCTCTGTCGTTCTAATTGTTTTTTTCTTATAGGTATTAGTTCTCTCTGGCTTCTTTCAAAATTTTTTCTTTGTCTCTATGTTTCAGATATTTAATTATTATTTCTCTTGTTATGGATTTCTTGGGGTTTATTCTGTCTGGGTTTTGCTCAGCTTTTTAAATCTATAGGTTTATGTCCCTTGTCAAATTTGGGGAGCTTTCAGCCATTATTTCTTAGAGTGCCTGATAGCTCTACTCTCTTTTTCCTTTCCTTCCAAGATTCTGATGATAGAAATACTAGATCTTTTGTTATAGTCCCATATGTCCCTGAGGCCCTATCCATTTTTTTTTTTTCAGTTTATTTCTTTCTCAGAAATAAATCAGATTTATTTATTTCTGGATCAGATTGGGTCTTTTCTATAGTTCTGTCTTCCACTTTTCTGACTTTCCTCTGTCCTCTCCATTCTGCTGTTGAGCTCATACACTGAGCTTTTTACTTTGGTTTATTGTATTTTCAGTTCTAAAATTTCATAGAAATTTCTTGTGTATCTTCTGTTTCTTTGTTGAGGCTTTCTGTTTTTTTTTTTTTTTCATTTGTTTCAAGCTTATTCATAATTGATTATTGAAGCATTTTTATTATGGCTATTTAGAAATCTTTGAAAGATAATTCTAACATTTCTGTCATATCAATGTTGGCATCTATTGACTATCTTTTCTTCATTCAGTTTGAGATCCTCCTGGTTCTTAGTTTTCTTTTGAAACTGCTTAACAAGTTCTTCTTAACAAGTTATGAGATTCTGGATCATCTTCAAGCCTTCTGTCATAGCTGGCTTTCTCTGACATGGTTTTGGCAGTGGAATGGTTTTACCACCTTTTTAGTGCCAGGTTGAGGGAAGTCCAGGTTCTCCCCGTGGTATTTTTGACACCTGAAGTCGGTGGGGGGCTCCTCATTATTGCTGGTCAGGGGTAGGAGTTTCAGTGGAGTCTGCATGGTTTCCTTGGACAATGCATTGGAGGGGAAAGTCCTGACTCCCCCGTGGCCTCTTCAGACACGTCCCCATTGGGATAACAAAGGGGTATTTTGTTACTGGAAGGTGAGGTTGCAAGTCCAGTCTGCCCTTGTAGTCCACTGACACCACAGGAATGGAGGAGCTCATTACCATCTGTCAGGAAGGAAAGCCCTGGCTTCCTCTTTGGACCTCTCTCACATCTCCCTGGTGGGGGGGTGTTGGGGCACCTTGTTACTGTCTCAGGAGGTTGGAACTCTGTGTTCACACTCAACCTTTGCTGGTAATGGTGGGGGTGGAGCAACAGTATTTTCTGTGTCGTTTGGCTGGATTGTGGTTGTTGACTAAAGGTTTTCTGCCTTGCTAGGCTGCCCTTTGCTCAGTCTTCTGGCTAGAAAAAGCAGGTTTTTGTTGTGTTGCCAGCCTCTTCAGATCTATGTCTGGGATCTATGAGGCAAAAAGAAAACCCAGTGAACTCACTGCCATGTCTTGCCTCAGATCCCAAAGTCCCTAGCTGGTCAGACTTTGTCTTGCCTCCTTCTAGAGTCTCCTTATATATTTACATATAATATCTAGGGGTCCTTGTTGTATTTAGAGAAATAAGAAAAAGTACGTCTACTCTGTTGTCACGAAAGTGGATGTTGTCTTTTTCTTTTAGAGCTCACAGCTCTAACTCTGTATATCAAATCCTTATTATGAGTTTTCCATCTGATAATAAAGCTGATGCCAGAGAGACAGAAACAAAGAGTCTACCCATCCTTATTCACTTGGAGATTAACTCACACTAGAAAGAGCTTTGTGCTGCAGCCAGAGAAACTACATGCTATTAGAAGCCCTTGGTTTCCAGTGTAATCCTAGTTCTTATTCCGGCTACCTAGTAATTAATCTTGTTAGTCTTTTCATGAAAGGCAGTGATTTGGCATTTAAAATTTTATTTTACTGCTTTGTCCACAGATTAAGGTAAGTAATTCAAAATAGAGGACCAGTATTTTAATTTTATTTTAGAAAATATTTAAGAAATTTAAAGTACTATTTTTCTTATATAGGCATCGAAGAAAATTTTAGGCCTTTTTATTTATCTCAATTAGAAGAAAATGTAGAAGAAGATGTAAAGAGTTTAAAGGTAGGTAATATAGCAAATGCTAAAAATGTTAACATATCAAAGCATTTCTATTTTCAATCATGAAAACCATAGCAATATAATTTGGTACTGAGATTTGAGGTAAGCTAGCTTGATAACCTCATAAAACAAAATTAGCAATTTTATGCAGCTATCATCAATTTGGCACACTGGACCCATTCTTCCTTCAAAACTAATGAAATGAGAGAAAATATATGTATTAATATGAAAACAAAAGCACAACTTCTCTGGAATAGAATGGAAAGTATTGTAGGTAGATCAGTCATTTTGAGGAATTCTTGAAAGATAGAAATTATATTTTCTGAGACATATAACAGAAAAAGAAAAGCTAACTCAAAACATAATGCTGAAGAAGAGTACTGGAAGGGCAAGTCTTGAGACCATACACAGAAGAAATAGCATGGTCACCTGAGCACTGACAGAGTTATTTGGGATCCACAATTTTGCCAGTTATAAAAGTTGGCTTCTCCCCCTAACTTCCTTGTGTTAAGCAACAAATGGGTGCAGCATCTGCCTCTGCTGAAGCAGTGAGTTTGATTTCTGGGTTCAGAGAGGTAATGTCAAAAACTGTTACCAACTAACCAACAAAGAGAAACAGAGACCTTCCCTACATTCATACTCAGGAAACAAACTACTGTCATGAGTTTTGCAGCAAGATACTGCTAGAGTCATGAAAGGGAAACTACAGTGAATAAAACAGTCAAACAACGATTTTAAAATACAAAAAAAAAGGAAAAAATTAGACAATCAAGAATTGCCAGATTTTTACAATATAAAAGAGAGATATTTAATGCAAACTAAGAAAGCATTCAAAAGGATATTATTAAAGATAGTCACTAAGGCAAAAAAAGCATTACTACAATAATAAATAATATTTCATAATGATAAAAGGTTTAACTCACAAAGGCGATAATGGCTTTAAAAATGTATATCCCTCAAAATATACAAAGCAAAAATTGACAGAACTCTAAGAAGAAATAGACGTCCATAATCAAAGTTGGAGATTTTAATACAGATTTCTCTTTATTCGTTAGAATAAACATTAAAAAATCAGTAAGGATATAGGAAATTTGAAGAACATAATGAACACATTTGGAAATATATAAAAGATTGCACCTTATAACTACAGAATAGTTACCTTTAGAGACTTTTCAAGAACATACAGAAAATTTTCAAAAGTTGACAATGTACTGGGAAATAAAACAAGTCTCAACCAATTTGAAGGATTGTAATCATACAAAGATTGTTCTCTGACTGCATTTCAGTTATGTTAGAAATTAAAAGATAATTAGAAAATCTCATGTGATTAGAAGTTAAGAAACATACTTTTAAATACCCTTTAGGTAAAAAAAAAATGGAATTTGGAAAATGTTTGATACTGAAGGCTAACAAAAACACTACATATTAAAACAAAACACACTTTGCAAAGAAATGCTTACTAATATAGTCATATATATATGAAAGGCTGAAAATGAATTAGCCATGCATTCATCTAGAGAAGATAGCAAAATAAACCTAGAGCAAATAGAAAGCAGTAAATAATAAGAGCATAAATTAGTGACATAGAAAAATCAACTAATTAAGATTGTCAAGAAAAACAAGACTGAAATGAATGAAGAGTCATCACTACAGCTCCTGTAGACATCAAAATAGTATTAAGAGGATATTAGGTAAAACTTTTTGATAATTGATTTTAAAAGTTAGATAAAATGGATAAATTTCTAGAAAGAAGTATAACTTTACAAAACTGACTCAAAGTTAGAAAACCTGAATATTCCTGTAACCATTAAAAGAGAGTGAATCAGTGATGGAAATTCTTCCCACAAAAATAATTCCACAATCAATCAGATTGCTTCATCAGTGATATATACCAAATATTCAGTGAATAAATTTTCCCAATATTATAAAACTTTGTCCAGATAATAGAGAAGGAACTCTCCCAGACTCATTTTATGAGACTAGCATAACCTTGATTCCCAAACTTGATAAAGAAGATATAAGAAAGGAAAATTACAGACCACTCACTCACTTTCTATAGATGTGAAATTCTGAATAAAATATAAACAAAGTTATTCCATCAATAGACAGTGAAGGTTGGAAAAGATAAGTGGCTTCACTGAGAAAAGCAAAATGAACTGATTATAGTTTTTCATCCATTAGATTGATAACAGTTTTGAAAGATTGGTAATATCGGTGTTGGTGAAAATGCAGAATAGCCAGCAATTTCATGCGGTATTGGTTAAGAGTATGAATTGGTGAAGTTTACTGAAAGATGAAGCATCCATCAAACTTTTAAAAGCACATAACTTTTGCAGCAGTTCCACTCAGTAATCTATCCTATTCACATGTGCGCTCAAAAATTTAGCTTCGAGAATTCTTTCCACCTTAGTTTTTAAGAGTAAAAAATTGGAAATGACCCAAATATTTATAAGTAGATATACTAAATTATGATTCATTGAAACTACAGAACACTACCTAGCCATTTATAAGAGGTAGAAACTAATATATAATGATAGAGAAAGATCTTCAAGACCTATTAATGAAAAACTAAGTCAAAACTTAGAGGGTGAGCCTTCAATCTCAAATATATGTATTTGTATGTTTTCGGAATATATATATACAATTATCTAGAGAGAATAAAAGGATGTACAACATACTCTGAATAAGGATTACCTCTAGGGAATGGAAAAGAGTGGGGGTTTGAAGTAACAACTTTAATATGTTGTCCTGTGTGATTCTGCATAGTTTGAGTCTTTTAAAATGAATTTGTACTTATATATTTTATGTAATAAATAATATAAAAAGAAAACAATTGCTTTTATAAAACTAAAATAACATAAAGATGCTTATCACATTAAATAAAATGTAATATACAAAATGCTACAAACTCTGTACATAATTAATATCCCTTGTTACTCTCCTTCAAATCACTATATGAGTTCATTCAGGGAATGTTTTGGAACACCTACCTATGATAAAATGTAAATATGACTAGTAAAAAAAAAAACGAAGGAAATACCAAAATGTTATTTTTTCCTTTGAGTGAAGGCACTATATGTAAGTTTTTTAAAAAATATAATTCCCTACATTTTCTGTATTTTTTATGAGTATTACTACTTTTATAGGAGGAAAAAAATTTTTTTTTTTATTGCGGTAAAGATACATAACAAAATTTACCACCTTAATCATTTTTAAGTGTACAGTTCAGTGGCATATTAAGTACATTCACAACTATCACTAGTATCTATTTCCATTTTTTTTATCCCAAATAGAAACATTCCATCCATTAAACAACAGTTCTCCATTCCTTTCTCTCCCCAGTTCCTCGTAACCTCTATTCTACTTTCTGTCTCAATGAGTTTGTCTATTCTAGGTACCTCATAGACATGGGACCATGTAATATTTTTCTTTTTATGTCTAGCATATTTCACTTAGCATGGTGTTTTCAAGTTTCATCTATTTTGTAGCATGTATCAGAACTTCGTTTTTCTTTAAGGCTGAACAATATTCCATTGTATGTATATATCACATTTTGATTATTCATTCATCTATTGATGGATATTTGGGGTTTTGCCCCTCTTGTCTATCATGAATAATGCTACTATGAACATTGGTATACAGGTATCTTTTTCAGTCCTGCTTTCGGTTCTTTCAGGTATATACCTAGGAGTAGAATTGCTGGGTTGTATGATAATTCTGTGTTTAACTTTTTGAGGAACCATCAAACTGTTTTCCATAATGGCTGCACCATTTTACATTCCCTCCAGCAATGCACAAGGGTTCCTTCCAGTTTCTCTACATTCTCACCAACACTTCATTTTGTTCTAATAATAGCCATTCTAATGAAGTTCTATATATCTCATGGTGAGTTTGATTTGCATTTCCATAATGGCTAATGAAGTTGAGCATCTTTTATGTACCTATTGGTCATTTGTATATATCCTTTGGAGAAATGTCTACTTAAGCTTTTTGCCAGTTTTTTAATTGGGTTTGTTTTTTTGTTGTTGAATTGTAGAAATTCTTTATATAATTGAAATATTCATCCCTTAACAGATATATATGATTTGCAAATATTTTTTTCCTATTCAGTGGGCTGTCTTTTCATTCTCTTATTAGTGTCCTTTGATGCACAGATTTTAAGTTTGATGTAGGCCAATTTATCTATTTTTATTTTGTTGCCTACGCTTTTAGTGTCATCTCCAAGAAATTATTGTCAAATCCAGTGTCTTGAAACTTTCTCCTATGTTTTCTTCTAATAGTCCTATAGTTTTAGTTCTTAAGCTGAGGTCTTTGATCCATTTTGATTTAATTTTTGTATATGTTGAAAGGTAAGGATCTAAATTTTACATGTGGATATTTGGTGTTCCCTAACTGAATGGTCTTGGCACCCTTACCAAAAATCAATTGACCATTTATGCAAGGGTTTATTTCTGGATTCTCTGTTATGTTCCATTGGTCTAGATGTCTGTCCTTAGGTCATACAATACTGTTTTGATTACGATAGCTTTGTAGAGTGTTTTGAAATCAGAAAGTGTGAGCCCTCCAAGTTTGTTCTTTTTTAAGATTGTTTTGGCTATTTGGGAAAAATGTGTTGTTGTTGTTGTTGTTGTTGTATTAATATTTACTGCTTGCTAGAACTATGAAATTCCTACCTTCTGGTAGTAATTTTCTGGAACTATTTTCTACTATTTACTAACGTATATATCTATGCCCTTTATTATAGAAAGAGTATCCTAGCCAAAATGAAATTGTGAAGAGAATGCAATCACTCCAAATGGATTGCGTAGCAATACCGCCAAGCAGGTCAAATTCAGGTAACTTCGATGATTAAAAATCTATTTATCCACTTATTTGTTTGCTCATTCATTCACTCTACTCTCTAAAATACTATTCACAACCATATGAGAAACAGAAGATATAAAATTTAACACCTGCCTTAAAGGAATTTATAACATATTTGAGAGTCAAGATGCCTATATTTGAAATATGAAGTAACATTGAGTTTACCAAAATCATAAAGTATCCTGAACATAAGAGTCCTAATATATCTGATAGGGAGAAAGTGATGGTTCAGGAAAAAGAAGGGGACCTATGTGGAAGCAAAGTACTTGAGAAGGTAAGGGAATAACTAGATCCAGAGTACAAGCAGAGAGGTTGCTCTCAGATTAAAGCAGGGATACTCTTCTCCTTATAACAAAAGGGAAGGCAGAGTATAGGATGTTGAGGCTACTGTCTGTTCATTTGTATGTTCTGGGGCAAATCACTTAACCTCTTAAACCTCATCAAATCACAATTGCTTCTACTCTTATAGGGCTTTTAAAGAATGCCAGAACCCATGGAAAATGATTAGCACAGAGCTGCCGCTCTTATTTTCCAACCCTGCATTACACCAAGGGGACAGCCACCTGCTCTGCTGTGACACAAGTCCCTTTCTTCCTTGGTCATTCCTGTAACACCCTCTTTTCTGTTGCTTGATATAATTTTCCTAGTGCTCTCTCACTGCAAGGCATGGGCTCCTTATTACATATAAAAGAAAAAGGCCATCTACAAAGAAAAATGCTTTGTACTTGTTTTCAAAGTTTTCAGTATGTTTTTGTGAGGTATAGATTTAATATGGGGCTGAGGTGTTATTTCTTAATGTTTTTTGAAACTCTCTCCAATGACGATCATTTCTTCTCAGCCACGGAACAGCCCAGTTCGCTGCATAGTTCACAGGGACTCAGGATAGGTCCCGTGGAAGAGTCCTGGTTTGCTCCCTCCCCAGAGCACCAGCAAGAGGAGAATGAACTCAGCCTGCAGAGTAAACTCCAGGAGGAAGCCAACTACCATCTTTTTGGCAGCCGCATGGATGGACAGACAAAACAGCAACCCAGACAGAATGTGGCTTACAATAGAGAAGAGGAAAGGAGACGAAGAGTCTCTCATGACCCTTTTGCACAGCCAAAACCTTATGAGAATGTTCAGAACCCAAGGATAAAAGGCCTTGCTTCTTCCAGTGCAACCAGTCATGGTAATGCAGTACACCAACCAACTGGGCTGACCAGCCAACCCCAAGTAGTATACTGGAACAATGGATCTTATAGTCCACATGGTTTTGGAACAAGACCATTGGATCTGGGAACAGTAGGTTCCAGAGTTTGGTATGGGCCAACTCCAAGCCATATGCCAAGCCTGCATAAAAATCCAGTGCCTGAGACCAACCTACTGGGAAACCTACCCACCATTCCATTCATCTCTCTGCCATCAAGAGGTAAACAGGCTTTTCAGTCACAATCTTATCTTTTTTTTTTTTTAATTCTGAAAATCAAACAGTCATTATCTCTGTTGTAGATGTAGACTATAAGGTAACAAAGGACACGTTGTTTAGAGTCTTCAGCTGCCAGGTACAGCTTGCCACCATGGAGTAATCTCCATCATGATCACTTGGCCCAGGCATACTTCACTTTTGGTAGGATTTATTGCAGCTGCCTAAAATTGTTGGTTTACAGGTCCTTTAAACTGGTAGACATCTTCAGCTCTAACCCAAATCACAGTAGTCCCATTATATCCAATTTCTGATGCAAGTGAAAGTATTTGCTTATATTCTTTTACTTGCTTGCTGTTTTCTGAAGATAAGAAATAAGTCTTGGATATTTTTATTTCTTATATAGGCCAAAGACTACCATATGTGATGAAAACCACATTGTCAGGCTACCATCACCGTCATCCAACTCCAGAACTATTTTCATCTTCTCAAACTTTTCGAAACTCTGTACTATTCAAACAATAACTTCCCATTCTCCTTTCTCCTCCCAGCCCCTGGCAAACAACCTTCTACTTTCTATGTCTATGTAGGAACCTCATATAAGCGGAATTATACAGTTTTTGTCCTGGCTTACTTCACTTAGTACAATGTCCTAAAGGTTCATCTGTTTTCTTCCTTTTTAAGGCTGAATAATATTCCATTATATGTATACACCACATTTTGTTTATCCATCTGTTGATGGACACTTGAGTGGCTTCAACTTTTTGGCTATTGTGAATAATGCTGCTATGAGCATGGGTGTATAAATACCTATTCAAGACCCTGCTTTCAGTTATTTGGGGTATACTCAGGAGTGGAGTTACTGGATCATGTGGTAATTCTCTTCTTAATTTTTAGAGGAACCACCATATTATTTATCACAGCAGCTGCACCATTTCGTATTCCCACCAGTAATACACAAGGGTTCCAGTTTTTCTACATCCTTGTCAATACTTGTTATTTTGTTTTGTTTTGTTTTGTTTGATAGTAACCATCCTAATGGATGCAAGATAGTTCCTCCACATTTTAAAAAAGAAGAATTTACAGGGTGGCATAGGACAAATAATTTAACATAAACATTTGGAGTAAAGCCCTGCCCCTTTGCTATATTGTATTTTTTATCTTGCTTTCAATTTAGAAACTTACCTGTGTGTTTCTATTCAGATGAGTCTGTAAAATGTTCCATATACAACAGTGCTGGCATTCAGATTGGAGACAATAATTATATGGAGGTTGGCGAAAGGAGTTCTCTGTTACTGGACAGCACATACACGAATTCAAAAGAAGAGTCAATTTCGAAGTACCTAGATATCTTTGGTAAGATGCTCTTCAAGAACCCATCGTGTAGGAACCTTGAACTTTCTTGCTTGTTGAGAAGGATGTAGTGGAATCTCAAATTTCTCTGATTCTCCCTGAAAGTTGTCCCATGTTTCCTCTGTAAAATATCTCTGTAATTTCTTTGTAATTTATTTAGAACGCTGCCTGGAATATAGTAAGATCTCTAAAAGTATTAAATTATCATAATCATCATTGTCATTAATATTACTACTCAGGTAGGAGAGAGAGCTCCCTCAGGTTCTCATCAAATGGAATTCTGTAAATAGTAGAATATGTCCTCAACAGCACCTCTGTGATAAAAATGAGGGCTTTCTCTTATAGAGTTCTTCTATGCAGGCTCATAACATTTCTCCCAAAACACAATGTGAGAGAAGCAGTCATGAGGCCAAAACAATATGATTTAAGAACCCAGCTTTCTGATTAACCCTAGGACTGGCAAATGTTTTCTGTCAAGGTCCAGATAGTAAATATTTGGGGCTTTGCTGACCCTGAGGTCTCTGTTGCAACCGCTTAACTCAACGTTGTGCAATAGCCATGGACAATATATATATGTACATGGCTGTGTTCCAATAAGATTTTGTTTACAGCAGGCTAGATTTGGTCCACAAGCCAGAGTTTGCCAATCCTTTGTCTGGCCCATTTGAAGGATAGTCTTTAAAATACCTAAAACAGAGGTTCCTAAATTTGGAGGAGACAAGGGTATCTTTGAGAATCTGATAAAACTCAGTTTTCTCTCCCTCAGAGAGGTAGTGACGGAATTTAGCAAATATCTTGGGAGATTTTTTGGACTGCTGACATTCATTGGTAATGACGAAAAGCTGCATTGTGGGGAGCTGAGGAAAGAATGAGGGTTGAGATGCCTTTTTCCTTATATGCAGCTTACTGAGGCAGGATGAGAATTAAGGAATATGGTTTGTTCGCGGTGGTTATTTTATCCTTTGGTTTCCTTTTATTACTTTTTTTGGTGGGCTAAGGGGAAGGATCCAGTAGAAAGAGAGATTATGGCTGTAGGAGAAGAGAGGACAGTGGTTAGATAGGGGAAGGACGAGTCCAAAAACAGACCTTGGAAAGTGTAGATGCCTCATCCCTTAAAGACAAGGGAAGACGTGATTGAATAGATTCACACTTAGTGGTCACAGTTTCCTTAAGTAAGAGGAAAATAAACTGTTGGGTGAAAGGGATCAAGAGTTGAATGACCTTAATTCTGGCCAGATGTAGGTGGAAAATGACCAAAAGGAACAAAAGTGGTGTTTTCCGCCTTTACATCAGGAAAGTCTACCATAAACAGGACCTCTGGCTAAAGTTATATAAAACAGCCTAGTAGGCAGAGGTTTTGTTCCCAAAGCCATCAGCTGTGGCTCAGAGGTGCATCTGCTAGGAAGAAGAGGTTCCCTATTCTAATTCATAAAGATTCCAGTGGGCTAGCAGCCATGGAAAGTATCATCCAGTGAGTCAACAGCTATGTAATTAAGAAATTATCTTTTTCACTGTAGTGCACACGTACTCTTCACTTGATAGAGGTTCAAATGGGTTACAGCTTGATACCTTCTTCTCTTTTCTTTTTGGCAGGTAATACTACTAGTCTGACCGATAAACACCTGGACCCAGTCAGGGAAAATCTAGGAAGGAGCTGGAAAATATGCGCACGTAAATTGGGCTTCAGTGAATCTCAGATTGATGAAATTGACCATGACTATGAGCGAGATGGATTAAAAGAAAAGGTTTACCAGATGCTCCAAAAATGGCTGATGAGGGAAGGCAATAAGGGGGCTACAGTGGGAAAGTTGACCTATGCCCTCTACCAGTGTTCAAGAACAGACCTTCTGAACGCTTTGGTATACATCAGCCAGAACTAATTCTAGAAGGGGCTTTGGCAGCATGGAGTAAATCACTTAATGAGTAATCCACTGAAAGTGTGCTGCTTCAGATCATCCAGAATTCTTTCCTCACTGATATGGGTTCTGTATCTGCATAAAAGTCATTTCCTGCAGCTCACAACTGGAGAATGGTGAAAAAATCTACAGCAAACAACCCACAAAACAGGAAGACTTGTTAATGGCTGAGCCCCAACCAAAAAAGCCTAATTGGGTTTTGAAAGGGAAAGAAGAGAGATTTGAGGACAATCATTTAATTTCAGTTCTTCCCATAACCTTCATTTATGCTGTTCATTCAGTTTCCTGGACTTTTATTTGAGCGAGAAAAAAATTCAGTGAATGTAAACTAAATCAACTTTCTTATTTTGTGTTCTCTTCTCTACACAGACTCCTGTTATAATGAAAGTACAGAAAAATTTTAAGTTCTCTTTATTTTTTTTTTTTTTTGTGTGTCACAACTACAGTTTATTATAAATTATAGGACCTATTAACTTGAGTATCAAATGCTGTATCAGTCACTACAGGCTTCAAGAAATGCATGCAATCTTCATAAACTAACTAGAGATTTTAAGGAGTACTAAGAAGGGGCAAAAAAAAAAAGCGAAAATATCAGGTACTTGTTGCAAGAAATTACTAATTGTGACAACTATAAAAATTCTTGATTAAAATTTTAAGTTCTTGCTTAGCATTCTGATACTTTATTCACTTTCTCAACCTGTGTGCCCAGAAGAGGGAGCCAGGTATTAAGGGAATATTCTCTTCATCCCGGCTATGACTGGAACCTCAGGGCTGATCACTGTTGAACAGCTTCTTAGTTTACCCCAAGATACTGTAGAAATATTTTCATTTTTTTTTTCTGTGAGTGATGATGTAAAAAAAAAGATAGATTTGGAGTTGGGTTGTTATGCCTAGCACTCAAACTTTCAAAGCCCACCTGAAACTCAGGAAGAAACTAGAAGACTGCAAGACTGAAGTCAACCATCGGGATCACTGCCAGCACTTTGCTAAACAGAGAGGGTATGCTGTTGTGCTTAGCCTTCCCAGGAGGAAAGGAAAGAAGGGTGCAGTGTGGGCAATCTGGCTGTCAGAACAGATTCTAGTGTTTGGTGGGTGATAACAGTATTGTTGGTCTGACCCTAAATTTCCAGCCCCAGCAGACACATCCCACCCACCCACCCCAGAAGTGGGACTGTAAAGCAGAATTTCTCAACCTCAGCACTGTTAGCATCTTGGCTGGATGCTTCTTTGTTGTGGGGGACTCTCCTGTGCATTGAAGGTTGTTTGGAAGCAACCCTGGCCTCTACCCAGTAGATTCCAGTAGCACTATTCTCCCTGTCCCCCATCCCCAGTTGTGACAAAAATTGTCAGATGTTCCCTGGAAGGGCAAAATTGTCTGCGTTGAGAAAAGCACTGCTATAATGAACCTCTCGGTTCTCTTGCCGCACATATCTAGGCTCAATACTTAATTGCCACATAGCATTAGATTACATAAACCAAAAGGAAGACTGGAGGGGAAAGGGGTCCCCTGCTACCAAGCAGGGGCTGGATGATTTTTTTTCTAAATGTATCTCTTGTACCTATGTCCTAGCAGTGTTACTAAAATTCCAAAGAGATTGATCAATGTTAAGAAGCAAAAATGGAAAGTATTTTAATGGACTTTTTAAAAATAAAATTTTGTACCTTAGATATAAGCCATTGAAATGTGTGTGTTTGTGGAAATCAGAGTTTTTAACTTTCCACTGTGACTTTACCACTTGGGTTGGCAGTTCATGTACATATTCCGCTTTTCACCCAACTATTGACAAAACAGGAAGTTGATGGTAAAAAGAGGAGAATCTTCTGGACAGGGCATTTTGTCTCTCAGGATGAAAGCTCACTGCCCTGAGAGCCTGTAGCACTACTGTTCTCTGAACATAGCTAAGAGGCCTATCTTTCAGCCCCTACTCTCTAAAAACTGGGCTGAAAAGAGCCAAATTTGTTTCTGATGAGTTCAGTACAAGGCCCAAGTACCACGAAAACACTAATCTTGGGCAGGACTATTACAATGGAAGGGGTCTCTTGGAGGAGAAATAATGAAATAGGCAAGAAAGCTGTTGTCATCTCGAATAATTCAAGCCAAGGCTAAACAGTAGCCACGGATCTGCCACTTATTTCCAGTTAAGGTAAGGCATAATGGTAGTCAGAATTAAAGTAGTTTTCTCCACTGAATATTCAATTTAGAGTTATAACCTTTATAAGGCTTGAATTATATGGTCTTGAAAAAAACTTTAATTGTGGTAGAATACACATAAAACTTACCTTTAACCATTTTCAACTGTATAGCTCAGTGGCATTAAGAATCTTAACATTGCTGTGCTACCATCACACCATACTTCAGAACTTTTTCATCATGTAAATTTGAAACTCGGTACCCATTAAATACTAACTCTCCATCTTCTCTACCCCCAGTCCCTGACAACCACCACTGTACTTTCTGTATCTATGGATTTGAGTGCTCTAAGTACCTCATATAAGTGGAATCATACAGTGCTTGTCCTTTTGTGTCTGGCTTTTGCCATTGAGCCTAATGTCTTCGGGGTTCATCCATTTTGTAGCATGTGAGAATTTTCTTCCTTTTTAAGGTGAAACAATATTCCATTATATTTAGACACATTTTATTTATACCTTTGTCCATTGATAGGTTGCTTCCACTTTTCGGTATTCTGAATTATGCTGCTATGAACATGAATGTATAAATATTGAGACCCTGCTCTTAATTCTTTTGGGTATATGCTCAGGAGTGGACCTGCCAGATCATATGGTATTTCTGTTTAATTTTTAAGTAACTGCCATACTATTTTCCATTGCACCACTTTACATTCCCACCAATGATGCACAGGGTTCCAATTTCACCAACACATTAACGTCTAGGTTTTCTGATAATTGCCATTCTAATGGGTGTGAAATTCTTATATTCCCATCATCTGTAGAAGGAAATGCACCCTCCCCTCCCAACTCCACCTGCCCCACAGGAGCCTTGACTGGCATCCCACTCTTAGAGGGAAGGGAGCGTCCTCGCCTCCCTAAAGTGCCAGGTGACCTAGCGAGGGACGGGATAGAGCCAACGGGGACGTGCCCCTCCGGAACTAGAGGTGGCACCTCAAGATAAGATGACCTGTGCGGGGGTACCCGTGGGGCCCCGAGTCCCAGCTCTGTCAGAGATCAGCGGGGACACGGCTGGCTACCGCCAAGAGTCCAGCTGAGGGAGCCCAGCTGACCGCGCCCAGGAGGCCGGGCTCCAACGGCCCGGCGCATGCGTGTTGCCAGGCGGCGCGGCGCAGCCTATAAGCCTCGGCGCACTCGCTCTCCTGGCGCTGGCGCTACCTGAGACCATGGTGACAGTGCCTGGTGGCCGGGTCATGCAAGGGCTGCGGCTCCTCCGCTCGGCACTGAAATCCTGGACCTACGTTCCCGCGGCCGGGATAGCGGCTGCGTTCGGGTAATGGCGACAGGCGCCCGCGTCCGCGCGCGCGCGTGCGCTCAGGCTGGGAGAGGAGAGGAAGCTGCGGGAGGGGCTCAGGCTGGCCGGCGGCCGGGCTCCGGGTGCGGGCCGTGGGCGCGACCTCATCGCCCTGTTTGTTTATTCGTTCCTAATAGTTTTAATAGTCTTTTTTTTTTATTCATGTATATTTTTATTTTTTTTAAATGTCAACAGGCATCTAGGTAGTGCAATTATGGGCCGTGTGTCCTTTTTCATACTTCTTCGGATGGAAAATTATTTTTTAAATAAACGCCCTTTTTTAATCGTGACCGTGCCTGGGGTGGCTGCGCGTGTGGCGGTGGAGTTGATCTTCCCCTGTCTGTCACTTCTGGCCTAGCTATTCAGCCATGTTTCCACTTCAGTTCTGTGACTCTGGAACCGTAAAGGGTTTGGGCAGTTGAGCCCAACTCCTTCATTATGCAGACGAAAGAAACCCAGGGAGAAAACGTAATTTGCTTAGTCACAGACACACTCACGACAGTGATTAGAACCTCAAGGCCCTTATTCTTAGTCCGATGCACTTTCCAGGGTCTTCCGACCTTCAGACCTCGGGGCAATCTCTCATTATCCAAAACCAGCCTGAGAATGTCTGTGACCTATTAGCTGTCATAGTCAGGAGTCCCAAGTCCGGGAGTCTTCTCTTTGCTGATCTCGAACTTTAATGTGCAGAAGAATCACCTTGGAACTGGAAAACTTTAATTCCTGGGCCTGACTCCCAGAGGTTCTGATGTTGTAAGTCTGTGGAGATGCCTTTTTCTCTTTTGACACCCTCCACCTCCCCCCAACACACACACACTTTGTGATAAACTAACAACAAAAACGGTTAATCTCTGACCCACTGTCTTAAAAGCGGGTGCCCATGGTCCCAAGAGATACTACGCAGAAAATGTGGATATTGCATCATGAAGCTTGCTTTGCTTTATTCCCTACATACCTACCTACGCTCACATACACACAAACATCCACAGCGCATATTATGCAATTAACTATTGATGGGTAAGTTTCCTTTAGAACTAGGAAGAAAAGTCAAATGCTAACTAGGTACCTGGTATTTAGAACCTAACTTTATCTAATGTGGAAACTTCTCATTTGAAAACTTAATTTGGTAGAAGGAGAAAGGAAAAATCTGACATTTTTATATTGCGACTGACTAGTTCTTGAGTTTCATGATTTAGGTTCTTTTTTATTAGATCTTTGAAGAGAGTTTAAGGACTGTTTTGATACAGATGGAAAAATACGTTAGTGTCCTCAGCAGTGTAAATCAACACTGAAAAATGGTGATTTATCCAGTTTCCTGTTTGCAGAAAGGGATTGAAGTAAAGTTATTGTGGTCGTAGTGATATCAGAGTTACAATAGGTTATTTAATGATTGCAGAAAGGCCCATCTATTAGCAATGCAAATCATTCTTCCTAAAATATCTCTGAAAAACAGATTTCTCTGCATTTTGAATTGCCATTTTATAAATGCAGTTGCAAATTGATATGACACGTAATGAGAGGAAACAAGCAGTGATTTTGGTTAATCCGGAAACAAAGCTGCAGTCCAGTGTAAGGTAAAAGTACTCCTGTAAAACCTTTGGTTCAGGACAGCCAGGGCCCAACCTACAATTGAGTTGTGTTCCAAAAAACTTGTTTTTAAATCTGTTGTTTGGAACTCTGACTCTTATTTCATAATCTGTAAGGTGGTTTGTTCCAGGGCCAGTTTAAAAAGGCCTCTTCTACCTGGAATTGCATGTTACATACAGTTGTGATGTTAATAATTTACAGAACCTGACAACCTGCCCGAATAAAACTGTTTTCCGAGTTCAACCTTGGGTTGCTCTGCCAGAGAATCAGACTCTCCTACCCCTGGTGCCTGCCACCAGCTTCTCTCTGGCAGTCAGAGTGAGTATGGCTCCAGTGCTGGAGCCCTGTTGGGGACTCTTCAGCTATGAGGTTACAGAAAAAACATGGCTTCTGGTGTTCAAACAGCTACATTGCCACTTCATAGCTACATGAACATAAGCAAGTTACTTACCCTCTCTGAGCTGCATGCCTTGCAGAATTGTTCTGAGGGTTTGAGACAATGAATGTAAAAGGCCTGGGACATAATAAGAAATAATTAGTAGGTAAAATTAGTAATGGCACAAATATGAATATCTAAATACTAATACAATGTATGAAAGATGTAAAATTATGTCATCAAAATTCCCGTAAATCTATGCCTGGGGGTAACTTTATCGTAGCCAATGGTTACTTTAGAAAAAATATACAAAAGAAAAAGCCAAACATGCAAGATATAAAGGCTATGTAGGACTTTCAAAGTGAGGATGTATCTTATTAATAGCCCCTATTTTTATTTCTAAGCAAAGTGTGGAAGTGCCAAGTGCCAACGGCTCTGGCGTCAGGCGATCAGATTCTCATCTTGACTTTGCAATTTACTAGCAGTATGGGGCAAATTACCTAAACTCTCTAATCCTCAGGTTCCTCTGAGGTAAAATTAGGTTAAGTATAATATACGTCACATAGAAAAAATGAGTAAGATAAACTCTTAGCAGAGTGCCTTATTTAGTTTAATAATTAAACTAAATGTTACTTTTACTTTAATTATTTTCCCCAAACTGTTACATTCTAACCTCCCCCCACAGTAAAGGCTCACTCTTTGAGGGGAGCAGCTCAGCCTCCTCAATCAGGACCTGAATGCAGGTGTATTGCTCCAGGCCTCCTGCCCTTTCATAAAATTGCCTGTCCAGCCTCCTAGAAAAAAGGAGTCAAGGACAAATACCAGGTAAGACAAGCTTTTCTAGCTGAGCATGCCTTCCTACAGGCTGTTTTTAAAAGGGAGATAGGATTTTTTTCTCCTTTAAGAAATTAACTCAGTACAGTTATTTTTAACCTGGGTTACCTATTGGAATCTCTTGGGGATTTAAAAATATACAGATACCTGGATCGTACCCCAGAGATGTTGATTTAGTGCAGTCTGGGCATCCAGAGATTTAAAAGTTTGCCAGAAAAAAAAATATGCATAGTTATAATAATAATTAAAATTTATTAGGCACTCAAAAGAAAGTTTGCCAGATGTTTCAAATCTAAGTTTTAGCTCCACTGATATAGTGAGAATCAGGAAATGCTCTCATAAAAAGGAGCTGAGTGGGCATCCTTGTAGATGTTGGTGAGGTCTTGGTGAACTTGGTGGTGTCTAACGCCAAACCAACCCCTCTTAACGCC